GCCCCCTGATCATCCTCGTGGCCCTCCTCTGGACTTGTTCCAACACTTCCATGCCTTTTTTATGTTGAGGACACCAGAACTGCACACAATACTCCAGGTGAGGTCTCACAAGAGCAGAGTAGAGGGGCAGGATCACCTCCTTCGACCTGCTGGTCACGCTCCTTTTGATGCGGCCCAGGATATGGTTGGCTTTCTGGGCTGCGAGCGCACACTGAAGCTGGCTCATGGTCATTTTCTCATCAACCAACCCCCCCAAGTCCTTCTCCTCAGGGCTGCTCTGAATCTCTCCTCTGCCCAACCTGTAGCTGTGCCTGGGATTGCTCCAACCCAGGTGTAGGACCTTGCACTTGTCACGGTTAAACTACATAAGATAGGCATGAACCCACCTCACAAGCGTGTCAAGGTCCCTCTGGGTGGTATGTGAGAATGAGGTAAGATATGTAGTCATGTAAAGTACAGAAAAAGATGTGTTGCCTTTTAGGAAAGATGGCGTTCATGTGTCTTCATAAAGCATTTGCAAATACTAGAGCTACATTAAGAAACTGATCAAGCAGTTCCAAAAGTTGTATTAAATTAGTAGCCTCCTGTAAAAGTTAACTCTACCTTAGAAGACAAAACATGATTTTAAAATGTTTTAAATCACTTCAGCCATGTCAAATGATTATTTGAGTGTCAGCAATATTTCTAAGCAAGTAAAAACTACCTCAGTCATCTGTAATTAGTTGGGGTGTGTTTTGTTGTTGTTTGCTTTTTTCTTTTAGTCTCTGATATTTCCAGATTACCTGTACATTAATTAAGGAAAATTGAAACAAAATAATTTAAAATTTACCTCCTTCCCAAGGTTAGAAAACATGAGTTCTCCCTCCTCTCTAAGGTGTTTTCATCATCAGTAGCCTGACGTTGTAGAAGAGAATGAAAAAAATAAAACAGAAGGTAATTAGGCAAAAGCATATTAGGGGAACTGCATGCTTTTGGTAGTCATTGCTTTATGTCCTGCATTATGAGAATTTCTTCAAAGACGCTTAATACTATTTGAACTCTAAAGTTCCAAAGCCCTTATACATCACTGTCTCAAGACCTGTTTGAACTGTGAAAAGCATACCCTACTTCATTAGCTGAAGTATCCACTGTAGGGTTTGCAGTCGCCTGTCATCTTTTGATGCATGAACAATTTTAGTAATTGTAATTTTTTGCCTTCACAATATTGCACATTTTGTTATGTTTACTTTGGACAGTAGGAAATAAATAACAGACTGCCATCACCAACTTATTCCTAGGAACTCCAAACATAAATCTCTGTATGTAGTTCTTAGATCACTCTTGAAATGGACAAATTATATTACTAGTATAGTACATAATGCCCTTGTCCTTATGTTGTTACAGCATGTTAGTATCAGATATTTGACCCAATACACCCTGCTTCATCTCTCACTGTGAGGTCAGAATAGGCTTTCGTAGAGCAGCAGTCTATGGCTGCTCACTAGCTCATACAAGAATTCAAGTAATTTCTATTTTTAAGGCTTACCTTGATTTCACATGTCATTCATAGCAGTGATCCAAAACCCAACAAATAAAAGGATATATAACATGAAGAGTAATGATCAACCAATACACTGCAAATGCACTTAATATTTTTTAAAAAGCTTTCAAAAAAACCTGTATGATCTCTGGCTGATGCATTTCTATTACTGTCCAGACAGTGTAACTTCATATTAATTTTTGTTGTAGAATCAAATGGAAGAAAGCAAGGCCTTAATTAAAGCTATCATTATATCTCCCTGGTTTCTGAACACTTCAGTCATTTTGTTTTTAAATAAAAAAGATCTTCTAGAAGAGAAAATAATGTATTCCCATCTAATTAGTTACTTTCCAGAATACACAGATAAGCATTTATCCTATATTATCTTCACAAAACTAAAAGTTAATAGTTAAACCAGTTAGTTTTTCCTCATTAAACTGAAGTGCATTTATGCAATGTATTTGATACCTATGCATTCCTGCTCTATCCTTTAAACCATAAACTTAAGTTACTCAGTTTTACTGCAAGTTTGGTTTTTTTTTATTGGAGCATTGTGGACAGAGTCCTAAGAGATTTCTTGCAGCAATTCTTCACCATTAGAGTGGCACAATCACTATTTACTTATGGCAAGAATCACCTTTTTCATCTTCAATCTAAAGAGACAAGATACGGGACAGGAACTTGAGGAATATGGCTATTAACCCAACTCTTTATATAGTATAAACTCCTAGTGTAGTTTTTCATTCATTATTATAACTTGTTGTCTATTTAAAAGTTCAAAGTTAAAAAGCAGCCTGAATGACTTTTCTGAACAAATGTTACTGATACTTGAAGTTGCCAAAGAATGATGAAAATAAACACAGATGTATTCCATCACTTAATACAATGTTACAGTCTATGAGACACATATCATGTGGAATCATTCATTAAATAAGGAAAAGATCATAATGGTTTAATAGCTACATCGTATCTTTGCCAAAGAGAATCCTGTTTACTCTGTGTGTTTTGGAAAACTTAATTTCTCGTGGTCTTTGACATACTACAATAATGTAGCAGACTATTAATATATGCTGGGTGATTTCAGTTGCATAGGTTTTTATAAAAAATTACTTAACCAGTAAGGTTTACCGTTTCAAAAGCATACCCCACACATTTTTAAAAAGCAGTGTTGCAACACCTCCTGCTCTACTAACATATTAATGGGATAATGCAGACAAGGGAGGATGCCTTTATGGTGATTTGACATTTAAATATGAACCTAGCCTGTTAAGATACTGTCAATATGTTTCTTCCTTGACCCACAGCTTTTAACTGTACAAAACCGCTAATTGTGCTTTTGGCTAGCACCTAAACAAGACGTCAAAGCTGCCAGACACTTCATTTTGAAGCTATATCAAGATCAGAATCCAGACAAGTAGAAAGCAATCTACTCCCACGTCACTTGTGCCACAGACACAGAAAATACTAGTTTTGTGTTCGCTGTTGTCAAGGACATGATCCTGCAATTAAACTTCAGAGAGTTCAATCTGGTTTGAAGACAAAACATGTTTGCAGCCACTGAGTATGGCTTACTTATAGCACAGCCTGTGTGAATTCAAAAAATAAAAGGTGTCTTTTTAAACAGCATTTATGGAAACGGGCAAAGGATTTATCTTTACTGAAGAAGTATGAATTAAGAGAACTTTATTTCCTGTATTAGTTTTGTCTGAGAGGTTTTGGGTTTTTTTGACAGCTACAGGAATTAAATAGATTTAGAAGAATGTAAAATTGCATTGCTGTTCATCTGGTATTTATCAATATTTTATTCTTTAAATTTAGCTTTTACAGTCATAGCTTATAAAACTTCAAACAGTGATGCCTTAAAAATGGCAAATTCGTGTTACTTTAGGGAGCTAGGCATTTTTATCTTCTTGTTCTGATCAATGTAGTTGAAAGACTAGGGTAACCCTATTAACACTTTTTTGAAGCATCTCTCAGTAGCCTTCATAGGCCAAACCCATCAATGTTCTAGAAATCATTACAAAAGATTAATTATTGGTGACCCTTGTCTATCACTGCATTTTTGTTGAAGTGCCTTAAGGTAATAAAATACCTTTCACAGCTAAAGAATTACAGATTAAGATCTTGTAGGCAGTCCAGGGAATTTACTGTTTCCTGAAGGGGAAAAGTACTTTGCAAATGTTCTTGGCACTCATTGCCACAAGAGCTTGCAGATCATCCACAGCTGCCTGCAGTAAACTAGGACTTCAATTCCTCCAAGTCACTAACATAACTTGCTTTTTGCACTTTGCCTTCATGGCTAGTTTTGCAGGGATTAAAGGGTGGTAAAGCCTCTCCTCGAGAAGATTTCCAGCCTTCTTCCTATCTCCACTCTCTGCCCAACTACAAATCTCTCCACTAAAGATACCAGCACCACTAACAGCTCTGTCAGTTCTCCTTCACTGCACATTGTTCTCCATCTGCTTGATGCAACAAGGAATGAAACTCCTGAAAGATAAAAAAAAAACTTGGAGACATCCAGCAAAAGAAAGTCAGGTTTCCTCCTATTTTGCCTGTTAGCGTCTAATCTCATCATGCCTGTTCCAGCAGTCACATTTCTTTCAGTGTACTGATCTGGAGATGATGAGTTAATAAAAATTAATGGCATGTACATACTCTTACTGCTTGTAGGAGGAGACTTTAAGTCAGTTTACTCCTCTGTGGAAGTTTAACAAAAGTATTTAGAATTCTTGTTGCAGATTTTCCCTGAAATCAATCAAAACCTCTGTATAAACCCTGTGACTGCTGTGAATGGAACCTCAGATCCTCACATCCCACTTGCAGTCACAAAAGCGAAAACTATGAACAAGATCACAGTTGCAATTCTTATGTCAAATAACAAAGCCCAGGCTCCCAGGTGATGCATATATGTACTTCCATATATCGGCCAGACAATTCCTCATTAATCCACCAGTAAGAATATTATCAGGCAAACCCTGACCAAGAAACAGTTACAGGTGGGGAAAAAAGGTGTTAGCTATTTGCTAATTTATTCACTTTTGTAAAGTGCTAAAGATAATAAATCACTAATGGCACAGACTGAGAAATCTTTCGGGGAAAACCAGATTCTTATGAAATCCTCTTTTTCTCTGGCAACATCATCTTAACTTTTGGCAATGCAGAAAAAAAAACCACCAAAAACCCAAAACCCAACAAACCCTGCCCTCCGCAACCCCCCCCCCCCCCCCAAAAAAAAAAAAAGTAGCTCATACATGTGAACACAGTTATTAAAATGTTGTCTTTATAATAAACCAGAGGTAAAGATTAAGGTCTGTATTCTGCTTTTACCAAGATGGCTGCAACAGAAATTTGACCTTGTGTTCTCAGAGAAAGGATTTGACAGAATTTCATAGGTAGAAATTGACAAATTATGATTGATGGTGTTACCTGTTAATTAAATTAGCTTATAAAGAAAATGAATAATAATCACATTCCACTCGAATAAAATTCAGTTTCACTTTATTCAAGGTGAAGAAGAGGTTGGGAGGTAAGAGGGAAGGAAGTTGTAACCAGGAGAGCCATGCCACACAAAGCCATGCAGCTGAACAAAAAGAGGTGCAAATAGACTTGTAAATGTTTTAGCAATGTGTCTGGCATCTGATTCTATGTTTGGTTTGTCATCGATTTGTCAGAGGTAGTTCTAACCCTTAACAAACTACTACTGAGAACCCAAATGACATTTCTCAAAGGTATTAAGCTTAGGTAACAGCCATCTAGAAGAGAAACTGTTCTTCCATACTTAAATAAAAGCCATGGTATACTTTTAAAAACCACGACGGGGAGACCTAAATGCCTACATTTTAATTTTTATTGATATCCCCTTGTCTAATTGCATATAAATTTTTAATAAAATTTAATGTATCTATTCTGCCATCTTGTTGAAAAAACATGCATATTGCAATAAGGAATGAAGCACAGCAGAATGGACATCTCAAACAACTTGGAGTAATCCAGAAATCTACTCTGTGGTGTAAATTTGAACACCTTCCTTCTTGCCCCCAGCTCATGTATAGTTAAAACAGGGAACAGGTGTCTGCCGAGAAATGGCAAAATTCATTTATGTCTGTATGGGAAAGCATTAAAAAAATAATAACATAAAAAAAAAGAGGGGGAAAAGCTACAATTTACTGACTAGAAAAACAAAACTAGAAAATCATGTTGTCATTAAAAGTGGAAACAAGGAGGGAGGTGCGGGAATGTCCCATGTTTACTTTTGAACATTTTCAGTGGCTTAGCTCTTAATTAAGGCTTTTAGTTAGCACAGAAGATAAAAATATTTTATACTCTATAGGAAAAATGCAATTCTGGGGGAATTGTTGTGTTTTCCAAACCGTGATCTTAACCACAGACATGCACATTTAAAATAAATTCTTCAACATTAATGGTTAAATTGCCTAAAGGTTACTGAAGAGCCAGCTGAGATTTGAGGAGTTTGTTGGGAAAATAAATGTAAAAGTTAAGAGTTTGAGATAATATTAATTGAAACAGAGGTTCCGTAAAGAAGAAATATTTAAATATGGTAAATTGATAAGCTACACAAATAGGAATGTACAAAGTAATTGCAAGACGTACTAGAAGTGAATGTTGCAGCAGATAGTTAATACTGGGGATAGAGAGAGGAGGAGACAACACTAATCAAGAATTAAAATAATGAACTATCATGCCTAAGATGAAAAGTGACTAATGAAAAACAAATTACAGCTACAGAATGGTACTCAGTGCACCTAATAACACTACTTATCTAAGGCAAAGTATTCTATTAAATTTGGCGTGATTATAACCTGAGTTAATACTCTTAGTACGTGCTTAGTGTACAAACAAGTGGAGCAACACAGTCATTGTCATAATTCAGAACTGTCTTATGATCTTTTGATTCAATTTACAATTTACGGGAAGAATTACAAGATTACATGTATTTTGCAACCTCCTAAACGGTTACTCAACACTTAAAGAAAGATCTAACAGTAAATTAAAGAACTGCAATTGTAGGTTAGCATGCTCGTCATTTTAGATTTTACAATAATGTGACAATTTGGATCTCTCAAGCACTGTCAATCTGCAATGTAGAATTATATCCTCTAGCTATAAATATTCCAAATAATTTTGAAATAATATTTTGGCAGTAGGTACTTACTACATTTACCAGATATTTTGAAGATTCTTATATGGGAATTTATAGAAGCCTTCATACAAAACTGTACTGTTTTTCCTGTACTTTTTGTATCAACGGCAGTAAACACTCATTCAACAATACTGTGACTACTACATCTCAGGAATAAGCAGAATTGCACACATTCAGGCACTCTCTATTAAAGTTCTGCTGTCTGGACAGGAAACAAAAAAGTTTCCTTGGGTAAGAAAAGTTGATAAAAGCAACTGTGAAATACTGTATTTTTTATTAATTAATATAAATTTGACTTTATTAGTCACTTGCTAAGCACACAATACTGTGTAATCAAAGGCATTTATTTTTGGTATACAACAGTGCACTTATAACCCCATAAACTCCTTTTTGAATTGCAAGACTTATAAGTTACTTAAAGTGATAGGCTTTAATTAATATTTTTAGTGCAGAGATATATTAATTCTCCCCATTATATGTATTTGTAAACTGTTATACTTTCACGATACTGATAAGAGGTTCTGCAACATTTCCTGAAGTATGAAAGTGGTACTGTATGGTAAATTCATTGTGACCTGGTCCATTCATTTACAAAAAGAAAAACGGCGTTCACTAAGCAGCCACTCATTTCGACATCTAAATTACACTTTTCTCATCAGTAGCCTCCATCTTAGAATTTGAATTGTAAGACTAGTGATTATTAAATTAACATTTCCTTTGATAAAGAAATCTGAATTTCAATACAGCCTCAAGTCATATGAAAACTAAGTCTGAAAGGAAGGACTGATTTTCAGTATAATTTGATTTGCTCTGAATAGGACTGTAAGATTTATTCCAGAGTTCTATTTCACTATCAAATGTAATGGTAAAACAAGTTAATTTTACACTGTATTTATAAAAAAGTAAATCTGGAAACTCCTAACATTAAAAAAAACACACCCAAACACAAGCCAAAACTTGGCAAAATTTTTTTGATCGCCAGATTTTTTTTTTGACTTCATGTCATCTATTTTTGTTATACAGCCACAAACTGTTATGACCATGACAATTTCATAATTATTTCTTCCCTCCTCTTTTTGCTTTTGTTGCTGATATTTAAGTAGTTTTGCTTGTTAAAAAGGAATTAAAAGGTAGCTGTTCAGTATTCTTCGTATCTTGATGCTTCTCCATTTATTACAACTTTGGCTGAGTCTCTCTCACTTCTTCCAGTTTAGAAAGGATCCACTGTGTGAAGAAAAAGGAAAAAATAAAATGTTTCCTTGGTTAAAAAGCATACAATGCAGGTGAAAATTATATTGTATTGGTCAGCCACTTCACTACGTGTTCTCTTCCTAACCAAGTTTTAAGACAGTGCTCAAAATAGTGTTTAAATACCAGTGTCTTATACTAAATGACACAGCTAATTAAACTGGCTAGGCTGGAATTTCAGTTTCATGGTCTATATTTCAATGAAATATTTTTTAAAAATAAATGACATTATCATTTCACCCACATCATTATTAATGCTTTTGCATTAGTCACACCTCTAGAAAAAACACAAATGACAATAGAGGAGCAAGGATACCAAAAGACAGAGGATAACAATATGTTGCAGCGTGATCATACAGTTATTTAGAAAGACTCTTTCTTGAACGATATTTGGTGAAATTCAGAATTTTGCATTCACATGTTTACTCAACATGAAATGGAAATTAGTCGCCTGAGAGTTCTAAAAAGAAAAAAAAAAAAATGGTGTGGGGTAGTGACATGGAAATCCATGGCAGAAGATGAAGTTACACAACAGGACTGTCATGAGAAATGTGCATTAATGCTTTCAAGGAAGATGAGTAAACGATTAAAACCAGATTCTGTTACTGCATCAGGTTTTATGTTAAAGATCTTCAGGATGGCCTCACCCCCTCAAGGAAACTCAAAGAAGCCAGAGCTTCTGTAGAGCAGGTTCGTGAAGGTTTGAAAGAAGAATCAGCAAGAAAGAAACTGTTGAACTGGCACCTCTCACAGATGGAGCACCTTGTAGTGTCCAGTAGACTGACAATAATACAGTCATAGAATCATAGAATAGTTACAGTTGGAAAGGACCTTAAGATCATCTAGTTTCAACCCCCCTGCCATGGACAGGGACACCTCACACTATACCATGTCACCCAAGGCTCTGTCCAACCTGGCCTTGAACACTGCCAGGGATGGAGCATTCACAACTTCCTTGGGCAACCCATTCCAGTGCCTCACCACCCTTACATTAAAGAACTTCCTCTTATATCCAGTCTAAACTTCCTTTGTTTAAGTTTTAACCCATTACCCCTTGTCCCATCACTACAGTCCCTAATGAAGTGTCCCTCCCCAGCATCCCTATAGGTCCCCTTCAGGTACTGGAAGGCTGCTATGAGGTTTCCATGCAGCCTTCTCGTCAACAGGCTGAACAGAGCCAACTTTCTCAGCCTATTTTCATACAGGAGGTGCTCCAGTCCCCTGATCATCCTCGTGGCCCTCCTCTGGACTTGTTCCAACAGTTCCACATCCTTTTTATGTTGAGGACACCAGAACTGCACACAATACTGCAAATGAGGTCTCACGAGAGCAGAGTAGAGGGGCAGGACTACTTCCTTCGACCTGCTGGTCACGCTCCTTTTGATGCAGCCCAGGATACCATTGGCTTTCCGGGCTGTGAGTGCACACTGCCAGCTCATGCTCATGTTCTCATCGACCAGCACCCCCAGGTCCTTCTCTGCAGGGTTGCTCTGAATCTCTTCTCTGCCCAATCTGCAGCCATCCAGCCAGTTCTTTATCCATCGAGTGGTCCATCCATCAAATTGATGTCTCTTCAATGTAGAGACAAGGATGTCTTGAGAGACGGTGTTGAATGCTTTGCACAAGTCCAGGTAGATGATGCCAACTGCTCTAACCCCCTTCCATCAGTTCCGTAGCCGCATCATAGAAGGCCACCAAATTGGTCAGGCAGGATTTCCCCTTAGTGAAGCCATGCTGGCTGTCACCAACCACCTTGTTGATTTTCATGTGCCTTAGGATGCCCTCCAGGAGAACCTGCTCCAAGATTTTGCCAGGCACAGAGGTGAGACTGGCTGGTCTGTAGTTCCCTGGGTCATCCATTTTCCCCTTCTTGAAAATGGGGGTTATATTTCCCTTTTTCCAGTCATCGGGAACTTCACCTGACTGCCATGATTTCTCAAATATGATGGCCAGCAGCTTTGCAACTTCATTCGCCAGCTCCTTTAGGACCCATGGATGGATCTCATCAGGACCCATGGACTTGTGCACGTTCAGATTTTTAAGATGGTCTCGAAACAGATCCTCACCTACAGTGGGCCCAAGGTCTTCATTATCACAGTCCCTGCGTCTGCCTTCCAAGACTTGGGTGGTTTGGTCAGAGCATTTGCCAGTGAAGACCAAGGCAAAGAAGTCATTCAGAACCTCAGCCTTCCCCAAATCCAGGGTAGCCAGTTCTCCTGATAGCTTCCAGAGAGGGCCTACGTTCTCCCTAGTCTGTCTTTTATTTGCTACGTACCTCCAGAATCCCTTCCTGTTATCTTTCACATCCCTAGGCAAGTTTAATTCTAACCAGGCCTTAGCTTTCCTAACCTGGTCCCTAGCTTCCTGGACAACATCCCTGTTTTCTTCCCAGGCTGCCTGTCCTTGCTTCCACTTTTTGTAAGCCTTTCTTTCCCTCCCAGAGTTTCCTCAGCAGCTCCTTATCCATCCAAGGAGGTCTCCTGGCCCTCCTGCTGCACTTCCTTCTAGTTGGGATGCAACACTCCTGAGCTTGTAGCAGGTGATCCTTGATTATCAACCAACAGTCTTGAGCCCCCCTGCCCTCTAGGGCTATATCCCATGGAACCTTACTAAGCAGGTTTCTGAAGAGGCCAAAGTCTGCACTCTTGAAGTTCAGGGCAGTGAGCTGGCCGCACGCTCTTCTCACTGTCCTGAGGATCTCAAATTCGGCCATCTCATGATCGCAATATTCACAATGCAGTGTCACTGAAATTACCTCATAACCTCCTCACTATTAAGGTGCAAGTTTCATCTTCACTACTCCTAGAACACTTCCATCAATGTCATCTCTCTGTATACACAGCACAGATGTCACATTTGCACAATTAAGCCACAGTATAAACAAAACCCAGAAGCAACTCTCAAAAGACTTCCTTCTGAAGCATATCCCCTAAGGCCCTGATATCAATTTCTGAATGAAACTTTCTATTAATGAGTTTCCTAGGGAAGGATTGCTGCTCCAAGATAAAACCACATTCCTTACCAAGCCTGTCTGACAGTGACATTTCCCTTCATACTCACATTCCTGTTGTGAGGTTCATGGGCCTTTCTAGGAAAGTGTGCAAGCCAACAGTTTTGAGATAAGAAAGGAAATAAAGCTGAAAAACTTAAGACTTACAGGATACATAATATAATGCACTAACTGGAGTTTTGGAATTACTCCTGATTTAGCTGGGGCACAGATGGGATTTCATACCCGCACAGACTACTTGAGACAAGGAAGTACAAAATGAAACATCATCTTTTGTAAGCAAGTAAATTCAGTTCGATGGCTTTGTAACAGTAGCAATGGAAAGTAACTCAGGTGAATGTTTCACAAAAACTAGTCAGAATACAGCCAAAGGACTTAATAAGAATCCTTGTATAAGATAATTCATTGTAGTTGCTGTATGACCTTAGTACAAAAATAACTGTAAGAAAAACAGGACAGAAAAACAGGAAGTGTTGATAAAGAGTATCTGAAACTAGCAGATATCCAGGATGTGCTTGGTGACTACGCTAACTGATAAGTAGAAGGACGGGATGATTATGTCTGCAGTTTTACCAAACCAGTTAAGATGATGTAAGCATTTATCTAGTGCGCATGCTTCAAAGATCACAGAAAGTGATGAAGACTGGGGGTCACTTACTTTTTCCAACAAAGACCGCTACCACATTGTTGTGCGCATGTGGAAATGGGCATGGAATTATGTAAAGAGGTTCTCAGATGGTTAATGAGTATGCATGATGTATGTTAATGGTTAATGAATATGTAATATGTATGTTAAGCAACAATTTGACTGGTCTATTTGAGGTTTGGCTGAGACATGCTAGGAGAAGCCATCCCCTGTGTCTCCCAGCACTGCAATAAAGAATAACTGCTTGTCAATTTAAAAAAAAACAACACAATAATAGTAATTTGAAGAAGAGCTCAGTACCTCCAAAGAGTACAGACAAGTCAAATTCAGCACGGGGACCTCAAATACCTTGACAGTAATTGTAATGCTTTTTGAGGTAACAGTCAAATGTTATAACCCAGCTGTGGTTAGAAACTATGCTCATGAAGACAAAAGCAGATGAAAATGCACAAAACAAACTAATGAGAGGATCAACTTTCACAGACTGTTTCAAAGCATGATCTTGTAGTATTATATCCCACTGGTGTGAATGTATACATGACTAATTTACTGTTTATGAAAATAATTAGCTATGCTAAGAAGAATCAAGTAGAACTTTTGCAACCCAACTACCTCACTGTTCTGGTAGCAGACCTGAACTACTCCTCCTCTCTATTGCAGTCAAAACTAGTGATTATCAAAATGAAGAGGCCATATATCATATAAAATAAAAATATTTGTGTTTCTATTAGGGATTTTTGTCTTTCTTCAACAAAAGCGATATAATGAGGAAGAGGAATGACACCTCATCTCCCCATCCACCTGGAATAAAACTGAGTAACGTACAAATATCGTTTGTTCTATTAAAACACCCTATTTTAATTCACATTCTTGATTGCTTAGTTTTTGTTAGTAGTACTATTAAATCAGCTGTTTGACAGACAGTTATGACTTTGAAGATTTATAGTGAAGTGAAAAGTTTGGTACTTGAGTATTTTTTAAATTCAGTACTGAAGATAGCATTGCCATTTCCATTTGTGTCATGGCTGTGTGGAAATGCTGAATTTTAAATAAACATAGTTATTTCAGGTTAAGAATATTTCTGTTTCACTTTTTAAGCCAAGTTTAGCACAGAATAATTGTAATTATAATTATAAAATATTGTACAATAATTTTATTGTAACACTAATTGTAAATATTGTTACAATAAATTGTAAAAAGTATCTTGACTTTACCTTAGCATCCTCTGGAGTTTTAAAATTAATAATTTTTCCAAATTCTTTGGCATGGAACACAGACTTAACTCGTTCCTAAAAATAAATAAATAAATAAATAAATAAATAAATAAGGAAAGAAGGTAATTCAAAATTGAATTAATTTATTCAGACATTACAAGTAAGAAGTTATTTACTACTAAGGCAGCTATATAGCTATTTGTTTCAGACAGCCATTACACTGATCTGAATACGTTCACATTGCATGCACACACCCTGATAAACTTCATTTTCTGCATAAAAGCACAGTAGAGCATAACGCTCAAGCAGTAACAGACTTCCCTTACCATGGAGTCCCTTGAGACTCGACCATAAGACTGTGCAGGAATGGAAGGCACATAATAGAGTATGGGGGATAACAAAATCCAGTACTCCCTAAGGTTGTAATTTGTCTTTCACCTTTTAAGTCTTTACTTGGGTGGACATTCCACCAATACTGACTTGCAAGTAGTAGAGTTAGCAACTTATGCCTCAGAAACAGAACATAAGCAGTGATTTGCAAAATATGGTTTTCAACCATAGATTTCAGTAAAGAGCATACTACAGATATGTTAATGGATTCTGAAATGACTACTGTGTAGGGGTAAAGATGGATATGTTATTCAGCATTGTCTGAAATGGCAGAAATTCTTAAGAATTATTGCATCCTGTAAAAGTTCACTTGCAGTCAGAAATCCAATATGGCTCTGCCTTTCATGCTCTCTGCAACAGAAACAAATAATCTGAGTGAAAAAGTGAATGCCTTTATACACTGTCAAGACTGCCCTGACAACCAATATGTGTAATTACACACATGAAGCTTATAAAAAAAAGAAAGAATACAAAACACAGTTAAATTCATTGACTGAAATTAAATTCAGTTACCATCTCAACAAGAATTTAAGAGGTAATTTCTTTATTTTTTTAAGGAAGATCGCCTCTGTAAGTATACTCAGTCACCAGTGGTCATCCTTCTCCTTATGGCCTTCACCCGTTTACCAGGGAAAGAAAGTTTTGGGATTGTTTAAAGGAAAACTGCAACTGAGAGCAACATATTTCAATTTGCATTGAAAGAGATAAGCATATTTATAAAGATATTAATACTGTATTGTACTTTTGCAGAATTTTGTTACTAGCTGCCCTGGGTTTGTCTCAGAGAAAACTGTTTGTGGCTTTGGTTTGTTAAATCTCTCCTACCTGGGTATTTTTAACAGGAGAATAGACAGCTATTTTATGTTGAAGTGCAGCAATTCTGCTAAAGCCTCTTTGGTATGGAGGACGATGGTTGAAGTATAAATATGGGGAGGCCTGGCAGATTGACTATATCACACTGCCACCAACCCGCCAAGGCAAGCGCCATGTGCTTACCATGGTGGAAGCAACCACCGGGTGGCTGGAAACATACGCTGTGCCCCATGCCACCGCCCGGAACACCATCCTGGGCCTTAAGAAACAGATTTTGTGGCGACACGGCACCCCAGAGAGAATTGAGTCAGACAATGGGACTCATTTCCGGAATAACCTCATAGATATTTGGGCCAAAGAGCATGGCATTGAGTGGGTATATCACATCCCCTACCGTGCACCAGCCTCTGGGAAAATTGAACGGTACAATGGGCTGTTAAAAACTACACTGAGAGCGATGGGTGGGGGAACTTTCAAGCATTGGGATACACACTTACCAAAGGCCACCTGGATGGTCAAACATCAGAGGTTCTGCCAACAGGGCTGGCCCAGCCCAGTCAGAACTTTTACATATTGTAGAAGGGGACAAAGTTCCCATGGTGCATATGAAGAATTTGCTGGGGAAGACAGTCTGGGTTATTCCTGCTTCAGGTAAAGGCAAACCCACTCGTGGGATTGCTTTTGCTCAGGGACCTGGATATACTTGGTGGGTAATGCGGGAAGATGGGGAAGCCCGATGTATACCTCAAGGGGATTTGATTTTAGGGGAAAACAGCCGATGAACTTAACTGTATGCTCTTGCCTGCTGTGTAATACTTTTATAGCCCATCAACTAGATGTCTTCAGGTCACCAGCGACTGGCCCTGACTTCCCTCCAACCATCATCCCAACAGAGAATGAACTTTGATAGAACCGGACGAGTTCTGCAGTAAAGGAACGACCAGCATCAGCAGGCAACGATCCAATACTGCACACAGCCTTTCCTGCCCTGAAAGATTGTTACAAGAGATGGAACCTGACATCATGGACCAGATGGACTCAGCAGCTTTATAGGGACTGGTCCATGCACTTAGATAAGAGTGATGGTATATTGAAAATGTGGGATCTGAGCATGACGTGAATGGTATGGAATATGGGGTGGATAATGTCCTGGGTTCAGCAGTAGCAGTCATTTTTCTCCTTCTTGGTAGCTGGTGCAGTGCTGTGTTTTGACTTTCGGCCTGGGAACAGAGCTGATAACAATGATGGTTTGGTTTGGCCAAGGACTTTGTGAGCCTCATGCTCTGCCAGGGAGGAGGGGAAGCTGGGAGGAAGCAGAGGCAGGACACCTGACCCAAACTAGCCAAAGAGGTATTCCATACCACAGCATGGCATGCCCAGGATGTAACTGGGAGTTAGCTGGAAGGGCTGGGAGTCTGCAGGGTTGGAGGAGGTATAGGTCGGTGCTTGGTTGGGTTGGGGGGCCAAGTTATCAGTCGGCTGGTGGTGAGGTATTCTATTCTCTTCCCTTGTTGTTTCTTTTATCATTATTATTATTGGTGGTAGTAGTAGTGATTTGTGTTATACCTTAGTTATTAAACTGTTCTTATCTCAACCTGTGGGAGTTACATTCTTTTTGATTCTCCTCTAAGTCCCTCCGGCAGTAGGGGGAGGGAAAGAAGTGGGGGGAGTAAGTGAACGAGCTGACTTGACTGGTTTTAAACCATGACACCAGCAAATGAAAAAAAAACAAAAAAACCCTCTTTGAAGCACAGTACATGAAAATGTATTGCTCAAATATATTTGAAATTTTGGGATTACCACAAGGTAGGAGGCTAACGTTGGCGTATTTCCACAGTGACAGACTGCATAATAAAAATACCCTGCAGTGTTCTGCGAGTTTTGTTGTATCACCATTTTACAACTATGAACGCACCATGAAGTAATGTGTAACATAAAAAAAAAATTCCCAGCATTCAAGGAATACTTTCAGCTGCAAACATCATGTCACAATTCTGCTTAGAACAGTCAGAAGATAGTTATAGGAGGAGTTTGCTCATGACAAATTTCAACTCCCTTCTTTGAGCATTTTAACTAGAAGAGAGATCAAGAATTCAAAGGCGAAAGATTAAGAATTCCGAGTTCAATTCTATAAACAGTAAGACAAAAAGAAACCAAAACATTAAGTTCACATACCTTGGCTTCAATGCGTAATCTTCTGCCATCGACGATGAATGGTTCTTTGGTAAATTCATCGTAAGTGTATTGCCATTCACATGTCAGCTGTCCAAATGTCCCTTTTGTCACAAATAACACACCACTATGTATGAGAAATTGAAATTAATAATTTTTAAATCAGTGTAAAAATACTTAAAAGTTATCAAGTAACTGGTGAAGTCATTAGTTGCTCCAAAATAGTTCTCATCTAATGATGCATAACAACCATACAGCATACTTTTAAAAAGAGTGAATTTTGAGTCTTATTTAAAATACCGTATCTCATAGCAAAACCGTTAACACTCCCTCTAGCTGTATCTCTATGAAAAGATGCACTGAGTTCCTATTTGAGATGAATGCCTGCTACTCCACTGCTAGACATTATTTACTCTGTTCCTATATTATCCATTTTTCCCTCAATATACTAATCTATAAGGGAATCCTACAGTTGTGTTGACCTCAGCCTACTCAGATGTCTAACAATTCTTCTCAGCTAAAGACACCCAAAACAACACTCATGTGCTGAACACCCCCCCCCACACCCCATTAACTGTTGATCCCACTGCTGCCACACTACTAAGCATGCCTTCCCCGTTATTTTATCTACATACATGACAGCACAGTTACTAGTCAGCAATCATCAAGGTATGAACATTTTGATGATAGTTTTAAGTACTTATTATTCAGAGTAAGAACTGTTTACCTTTTTGTAACCATTAATAGATCTGTACTGTTGACCATAGCATGTGCAATATATCTCAGTTTTGCAAATCTTCCATTTTCAATTTTCTAAAAGAGATAACAGTTTCATACCTTTGAATATGTTAGTATAAATTCATATGCTAAGTTTGTGCTAAAAATGTATTTATTCCCCAAAAGTCAAAGTCATATATCACTAATAGATCTGTGACAGCCAAAGTTCAAAACTGCATACGATTATTTGGTTGTTGTTAATGCAGCCATGCAGATGAAAAATCAATAACCAAAACTGTCAAAGAATAATATAACTTCTCAAAACATTTCAGGAATCAGTTTTCTACATACTTTTAGTACACACCAAACTTCTGCAAATACAATTCTGAGACAACAAAAGAAATAAGGATTAATTTCCTAATTTACGTTAAGTCACCTCCAAAAACTGGAGTATGTAACTCAGGGAACAAATCTATACTTAACTGTATACAGGAACCTACTGTCGTGTAAATAGTGGGACTTATTACTGCACTTGAGGCAATGCTTATTTTCTCCATATTCTCGTTTCCCCCTGAATTTACTTCATCTTGCCCCATAATTCTGTCAATATTGTAACAGAATATTCTTCCATGGGTATTCTTTAATGGGCAATAATTTCAAAATATTAATGACAGCAGGTGAATAATTTTTAGAAACAGAGGCTCTGTAACTTTAACATGACTTGGCAACCATTGGATTTCTGACTTTCTGAGCAATGAGTGATTAAATTAGTGATTGAATTAAGATTGCTGTATCTTAGTTGGAAACTGATCCTTGCATGCTTCCCATCTGTTGCAGATTGAAAGCAAAAAAAAAATTAGTATAAGCCAGTATGATTCAAGAAACCCTTAACTACACACATAATGCTTCAGATATGTATGCCAATATTTTTAAAAAAATATGTAGGTTAGTTCTCAATGCTGTTAAAATAGCAAAACCATTTAATGAGTATCCATCACCACTGTAAAATGATAAAGACATTTAATTAGACATACCCTACAACTTCAAATTTAGCTGCATGGATAACTTCACTTGCCCAAACATACTTTTTTAAATCATGCCCTCCCCTAAAGTTACTGATTCTTTAGTGAATAACATCAAGAATATTTGATTAACAGGCTCCCAAAAGAGATTTCCGTAAGCTCTCAGGAAGTTCAGAGTATTCCAGGATAGTAACTCTGTTGGGCTACATAATCACACCTATGGCTCACATGCCTACTTACATAAGTCTGCTTGAATTTCTGCAAAAGCAAGTGTCAGGGACAGGATGAATACAGCATGAAGAATGATATAAGACAGCATGAAGAATGATATAAGAAATGAGGAATTAAGGGCTTGGAAACTCCTTATTCAAGCTTTGTCTAGGGGTTGTCACACTCCCATTTGTTCCAGAACACAATATGTTGGATGGTAAGAAGACAGACAAGGCTGTATGGGCAGACAGCATGGATAGGATACCTGATCCTATGGGTCAGGTCTAGTTCTATTTCCTGATGGATGTTAAGTGTTAGTGGCCTTGCAAGAAAGACAGGGAAAGGGGACAGAAGGCTGACAGGAAGTTACAGAAATAATGTGTGTGTGGAAAAAGCAAGGGTAGTTCAGTAGAGATAACAAATACACATCATTGCATTTAATCTGCAAGACTCTGGGACAATGCTGGCAATTTCTCTTACTGACAAAACACATTATAAATATTCCACAGCATGACCAGTATCTCTCTTCTATTATAAGCAATTATAGGGAAGCATTAGCAATTCAGCCTTATGAGGGTGGAGAGGATCTGTAGTCTTTGTCCTGCATCAAGGAAAGTAACTTCCTTATCCTTCGCATCGCATTGAGATAAGGCTCTCAATCCAAAAGTTAATCCTCTCTAAAAGGGACTTAATAGAGCGAAGTTACCTCTTTCTCTCTTTTCCTTAGCCTGCAAGTTAATTTTCAACAAGCCATCTCACCCGACTGTAACTGATGATGAACTGAGAATTATGAAAGTTATTAAGGAAGTACAGTACTTAACTATCACACAGGTTGCAATCCTAAACAAAAGCTATTTAAATGTCCATCAAATTCCACAAAAAGTTTTTCATTCTACTAAGGTCCACAAGCAAGTGATTTGTGTAGCACAAAAATACTGTCAGAATGTAGTATGTGCTGACCTAATTATTACTCATTGTTAGCAATCGATCTTACGGTGGTTAACTCAAAGTTATCTATATGCTATAAGATAGAACACAGATAACTTTGTAGATACAAAGTACCTACAAACTTCGTTCTGTAGACTGTAGTCTAGAGTTTTGTAGACAATTGGGAAATAAAGGACAGAAAAATTATGCACAGTACTTTTGCAAAGGTAATGCATCTGTGCCAATGCTTAGCAGTAACTACTTCTAAATATTCTGCCTTTAGATTTTTCTGCCCTTCATTTACAATCTGTATCCCTTCTAGCATTAGACTTGCACCTGTTCTTTAGGAAATATATCATGGAGGGATATGCCAATTTACTGCTGAAAACTCCTATAGCAGTATCACTACTGCACTCTGCTACCAAAGTGCCTTATAAAACTCAAACATAAAAGGATATATAGATGTATAAATAGACTTTTAAAACAATTCTACAGTATTTCACTACTGTTTGCAGAAAACCATCAACTTGGGCCACTGCTTGGTGATGCAAAACTGTTACAGTTAACATTGATCAAACATTGTTCAATATTTAACTACTGTAAGAAAAAAATACTAATTTTTAAAACACAACTTCTGTTTCAAATTAAGAGTGGTTTAATAACCTGATTACTTTAGTACATGTTGTAGTTCATTGACTAGACATAGAAAAGGAATGCATCTATTGAATAAAGACACTCCGGCAGCAGTTAAATTTGAAGCAATCCAAGCATAAATTCTCTTCTGTGCAAATTATTCTCACCTGTAGTACAAATGCTTAAATGTCAATGCAGTAACCTAACAGTACATGCAATCTTCTGTGCAGAGATGGATGCACAAATGTGCTCAGTGTCTTTAAAGTGCCATCTCTGTTTTTGGAAAGATTCCTAATCACACCACATGCTTCTTATTTACTGAGAAGCAAGCACAGAGGTATTTGACAATGAAATGTTTGTGGAAACAAAACTTAAAATCTATGAACCTTACAGTTATAGTTCTAGAAAATACTAGCAGTATCTGTGATACAAAATTCGGAATATTTGATATACTTCTTGAATCATCCCAACTAAAACATGTAAAAAACAAAAAAAACCTGTAAGAACTGTTACAACTTAAAAAAGGGTTATAAACCTTCGTTTCTTTCTGCTCAGATTCACTTTTTCAACTGGATTTTAGTTTGCCAATGTACTTCCTTATTAATTGAATACTGTCCAGACATTTAAGTTTTAAAGGCGATTCACTGTTCTCGAATACTGAATGTATCTTTCACGTCAAACTATAAAGTGACTTCCTCCAAAGCTGTAAAATCGTTACTTCCATCAGACTAACCTGGTATAATTGCACACCTGGTCTTCACCCCAGAAACATTTAATAACTCTAAGCAGTACCCAGGTCACTTGATAGATCTAACTTGAATGTGTGTGAAAAAAAGGAGAAAACTGTCACACAAAGCAAAACAAACAAACAAACAAAAGTAAACCCTTCCTTTTTCTACATGCAAAATTCTCTCCTCGTCCCTTATTAATAAGAATTAAAGTTAATCCTTTATTGGCTAATCCCTCATCCCAGTTATCCTAATGTGCAATATCATTCTACAAACAGCAAAGCTTTTGTCAATGACACACTAGTGCCTGAATTCAAGATTCTGTTCAGTCATGCAGAGCAGCAACTCCAAAATCAACCCGTTTTTGCCAAACAGAACAGAAATTTGTGGTTAACATTCCAATCTAATGCCACAGTATGCAGGACAGCAACAACTGGGACAGCAGTTTTCTGTCAGAATATGAAGCTTCTACTTCACAACATAAATACTTGCCTATGTTGACCGCAAAATTATCTTGGTCAATTTCTGATCTCAATTCATTCTATGAGCTGAACAGTGAAACCATAGTGATTTACACTTCCACTATGATGACCATATCTAGATGTTCTTTATGTTTCCTGCCAATACAACCAAAGTTCTTGGATTTGTAGCTTCTGAAGTGATTACTGTACTGGCAGGGAAATGGCAAAATATTTCAATTTGCTTTTCCGTTTTCTCTGTCAGCTAACAAGCTGGTATATACTTTACCTAGGACATTTCTAGTTTTTACTTGCTTTTCCACCATAAAAAGCATTTGTTTTAGTCAAACAAGCCGAGATGAAAACTGAGTCATGGAACAAGCTTCCATGTTCTTCTGAAGCAACTGCTGTTAGCTGTTCTCAGCAAGCTTCCTCTAAATGTACACAAGTCTTCTATTTAGGGATGAACAATGACTATATAATAATATCCCAAAATTGCACATTTAAGTGGTAAGGATCTTGCTATTTCCTTTAACCTAGACACATTTCCTCCTTTGGAAAATGACAACACTGAATCAAGGGAGTAGCAAACTAGATGGCACGCATGAGTGGATGCCTGGCAGGAGTCTGGACAATGCCAGACAAAAATGAATTTACTTTGAACTTTGGTAATGATATCTCCCTGTAATTCTATGAAGTGAAATGTCAGTTTTAGAATACTCCACAATAGAGATGTTTATGCTTTAATCTGAACCCAAGCCAAGGGAGGTGAGGGAAGAAGAGAAAAGAGTATGATGTTTTTCCTGATTCTCAGATGTTCTTCCTGACAAACTGAAGTTTGAGTACTAAGAAACAACAGTCTGTTCAATCCAATCCAACATTCTAGCACCTGATCTGAAGCTTACCTCATGACCAAAAACGGATCATTGAACTGAAAGCTGAACACCTCCACCACAGTAGGACACAGTATTGAAGCACAGCTTTTGAAGGTTTGTCTTCTCTACAAGCTTACATCCACTGCAGCATAGATGAGAAGCAACCTTACCCAACACTGTAAAAGAGCCTTCACAAACTCATACACTATACAGGTAAATTAAAAATAATTAAAAAAAAGGTTT